AGAAAATGTTGAGAAGCCCAAATTGCCCAAACTAGTTTGGGCTTTGAGAAAACAGTTTGGACCAGAAACCTTAGTCTAATTACAAATTGATTAATTAATAAATCTTTAATTGTTTGATGACATGTAATTATATATTGAGGATTTAATGCTGCAACAAATTGATGAAATTGATCTTGTTCTACCACTAAAAATGATTGTAAATTTACAGCAATCCATTCAATCATACGTATTGTAATATGCTTAGATTCTGCTTCACTATAAGGTCGAAATTGGTAAGAAGTGAGTGTTGTTTGTCTACTATTATTCGAATAAATTGAAGTATGTTTATTGTTTAGGTGACGCCGAAGTGTAGAAGTTGCACAAGAAGATTTATATAGTTTCGCACATAAATTACATTTGTAAGATTTAATTTCCATAGTTCTCAAATCTTCAATTTTTTCAAAATGATTCCATACATCAGAAACAGGTAAATTATTGATAATATTGGAGTTTGATTCTGAATCAATACTTTCATAACTATCATTAATATGATAAAACTCATCAGAATTAATGTTTGGAGATTGTTCATCGAAATTTATGATTGAATGATTTTGAATTGAATTATTATTGTTGGATTCTAACGTAGACATTTTCAAAAAAATATTTCTATTTTTTGTATACTGAATTTACCAAATAATATATAATCGTTTTCATGTGAAAAAGATAGACAATTGTTTTAAAAAAATCATTATTAATAAGCTTCATCCTTTTAACTTAATATAGTTAAATTTCACCAGTTACTATTCGTAATACAAATTCTTATTATTATTTCAATCTTGTAATGTTTAATATTAATTCAAAATATTCATAATACAAATTACTTCAATCTTGTATTAAATGCTAATTATTTAATTATTTTTTATTAATATTCGTATACAAATTATTTCAATCTTGTATTAATTAATATTGTTACCGGAATTAGATTTGGATGCTATTTTGGCCGAATTTGACTAATTCCGAAATTCTTAATTTTTATTATTATTATATTTTATTTATTTCTATTTTTATCAC